TATATTTAGGAAATGTCAAACAGTTAACACCAATACATTTCTTGGTAATTTTCAATTGCCTGTGAAACAACATATTAGTACAGAGCTTCACATATGCCACAATCAAGTAAATGATTGATAGATGCTTTATAAAGCTTATGAAGCTTAATTTCAATTTTGCCTTCTACTTAATGGCTCAATACTTAAGGAATATGGAAGAATGCTGTTTCTTTTATGGCTCATTTCACATAGATAGCCCCTGAATGATGGTCTTTTGCCCCAAAGGCAAGAAAATTTAGTTTTGAGTATAATCATTTCAGAATAATCCTCTGAATAACATGAGTTTTAATTGTTGCACCCAAAGGATAAAGGATCGACCCAAATTTACCTATCCCACTTTGTTTCCAAATACTCAAAAGTTCGACTTCTGGTTCTCCCAGCCCACCATGGTTTTCCCAAACCTGTTTTCCTACAATAACCAATGCTAGTTGTAAAAACATTTAAAGCTGTTGACATCACGATTAATAAGATTGTCATTATTCGATGATGTCCAAATCTGTCCCAAACCACATTTTTTTGTAATGGTATTGAGCATCTGACCTTTATTAGTACTTATTTAAATAATTTTTAAGAATACAAAAAATATGGATGTGGTTCCATAGTGTAGCACGTCTGCTTTACATGCAGAAGATCCCGAGTCCGTGCTCCAGTGGAGCCACGGTCCATGGTCTACGGCCGTGCCACCCTGAACAAGCCCGACGTCTGATCTCAGAAGCTAAGCAGAGTCGGGCCTGGTTAGTACTTGGATGGGAGACCACCTAGGAAGACCAGGTGCTGTAGGCATAAATAATAAGAAAGAAAGAAAGAAATGAAAACAGTTGCTATTTACTGAGAGCCTAGGACCTGCCGGACTCTAGCCAGGGGCTGGGATCTAGTTCTAAGCAAAGCCTAGTGCCAGCTGTGCTCGTGGAACCCATGGCCAGGTCGGGGGACAGACAGGAAAAAAAAAAAGATGTGTGCAAATACCACCTGAATTAAGTGTTGTTAAGGGAAGGAACACGGATCTATAAGATTTTTTTTTTCCTGTTGTCAATTATTTTTATTAAGAGACATTTTCATCCTACACAAAAATAGAGAAAATAGGATAATAAACCCGTGTGCCCATCACCCACCTTCAACAAAATCACCTCCCTAGAAAACTTGCGTCATTTATACCCCAATTACTTCCTTCTCTACATTATTTTGAAGCAAATCCCGGCCATCATACCATTTCATCCGTAAGACTTTATCGCTAGAAGATAGACTCTTTTAAACAACATAACTACAAGGTCATGCTTACACCTAAAAAATGAACAATAATTCCTTCACAGCAGCAAATACCTGGTCAGCATTCAAATTTCCATGTGTTTTACAAGCATATATTTTGTCACAGTTTGTTTGCATTGGGATCTGAATAAGGTCCCCACACTGTGGTTGGTCGATAAGTCCAGGGTCTTTCTAATCAGTGGGCTTCCCTGCATTTTTTTTTTTTTCCTTGCAATTTACCTGCTGAAGAAACCAGGTTGCTCGTGTCCAACAGAGTGTCCTGGTGTTTGCATTTTGTTGATTGCATCCCCCGACATTGTTTTCTATGAGAACTGTTAACAAAGGTTGCTGATCTCGACAAGGATTCAGCAGAGAGGTGGTGGGTGCATGGTTGGCTAGTGGAGGGAGAGCAGACGAGAGAGCGCCAGGCAGAGGAAGGGCATGTGCAAAGGCCTGTGACAGCGAAGCACGGAACATTCAAAGAACAGCAGTCAAGTGGGAGCTCTGTCAGTAGGGGACGGGCGGCCGGGGATGGTTTGAGATAAAGTTGGAAAGGCGTGCGGGGAAGCCTTGTAGTCTTCGGGGACGAGCTGAAATTTTATCATTCAAGCAAGGGGCCTGCCACTGGAGGATTCCAGCAGGGGAGTAAAATGATTCTGAGATTTGAATTAAAAAAAAAACAAAACACTCTGGTTAGGAACTGACTGGAGGAGCCGAGTATGGATGTGGGCAGCTGAGGCCATCCAGGCACCCAGAGGCGATGGCATCAAGTCCTTACAGCAGCCCCAGAGAGGAGAAGCAGCTGGCCCAGTCCCGTGTCTGGCACGTACGTGGCAGGCGGCTGTAGCTGCAGTCTTTGTGATTAGCACCTGCACGTTCTCTCTGCTCTCCCAGGTGCTTTGGGGCCTGGCAGCAATTAGCGAAAAGAGGGACGGGGTCCCAGCACCACCAGGCCGACCACCAGGCAGGGCCCCTGAGGCTGTGCCTGAGACGATGGGTGGGGATGAAGCAGCTCCAGGCCTCGGATGGGGCGAAGGTGACCCAGCTGTCCCTCTGCCAGCAGAAGGCGGGTGAGTGAGTGGCGGGCCAAGGGGCTCCGCTTCCCTCCCACCCCAGCAAACGGTGTCACTTAAGCTCCTTCCGCAGTGGGCCCAGTTGAATTATGTATTATTACAATGAGACTTTTCTCAGGGTGTAGCCTGGTGAGCATGGGAGAGTGGGGGAGGGGTCCATGCAGTGGGCCTTGGCTGGACCCTGTCCTCACCCCATCGTGAGCTCCTGCCTGTGCGCAAGAAACTTTGTTCTTCCATCATGAGGGGACGTGGGCCCTGCTCCCAGGAAGCTCCATCCGAGTGGGACACAGAGCTTCTGCCCCTCCCCACTCCCAAATCTGACAGGGGAAGGTGGGATCTTTGAGGTGTCCTGGAGGGGAGGGAGGGTCAGGAGGCGGTGGGAGGGGGGAGCACTCACGAGGGGAGAGGTCCTAAGTGGGGCCTGAGGCAGCAGCCACCAACAGCTTTGGGCAGGAGGTCACTGAGGAGGGGCATGGCTGATTTGTCTCTTGACTGCTTTTCAGGGAACATGGTCCTCCACAGCTCAGACTCTGGAAGGGCCACAGCCCATGGCCTGGTGATGGTGGCCCAGGCCCTGGGGCTGCCCCAGGAGCAAGGCCACGGCTCCTTGCAGAAGGGCGGCGGGAGACTGGCCCTCCACCGGGCACTGCTGCTATGGAGGAGGCAGCTTTCCCTGTGCCAGCGAGCCACGTAGGTGATCACGAGCCTGTGGCCTCGGGCAGGACCTGGGGGCACGGGGAGGGCAGGTGGGCAGTGCTCAGCCCCGGAAGGAGTGTCCCATGGGCAACAGAGCACACCTTGCTCCTTCCCGTGGCCCCAGCGTGGGGCCTGGCACACTGTGATGCCCAGAGAGTGTGGGGCCGAGGGAGGCAGGGACATTGAGAGAGTGATGAAGCAGAGAGCTGTGGGCACCATGCGGCAGCTGGGGACACAGAAGTTCTACCAAGGTGGCATGAACCTGATGGGGAAGTCAGTGTAATGCTGTCTCCCCAGAATCTGGACCCCACTCGGGCTAGGTAGGAGCCCCCTGTTGGTGGGGACCATGTCTGTCCCCTTGCCACTGTCTCCCAGCACCTTGCAGGAGCCTGACCTGTCATAGGTATAGAGTAAATACTGCAAATGAGTAAATGAAGGAGCCACTTATCCCCCACCCCCATTTGCCTCGTTATACAGCTAGAGAAACTGAGGCTCAAAGGGGTCGAGCGGCTTGCTCTAAATCACACTGCAAACCAGGAGCAAGTAGATGGGATTCAGAGCCCAGGCTGATGGTTTTATGTGAGGCCGGTGACGAGGTCAGGAGGGGCCAGCTTCCCTGGCGGGATGTCAGAAGGAACGTAAGCCAGCAGTTACAGGGTTAAAAAGTCTATCTTTAAAAGCCATTTGCCTGGCATGCATCGGCCTCACACCCACTTGGTCCACTTGGATCCTTGGTCTCTTTTAATGTACTCCTGAAACTCTAGGGAAACTGAGTTCACCGTGGTCCTTCCTAATGTAGCCCTCCTGCCCCCAGTCCATCCGTGGCCTTTGGGCACCGGGGCACAGTCCGTATCTCAGTGTGGCATGCATCTGGGCCACCCGGTGGCCGGAGATGCATGTCTGGATCCCAGGAGTGCTGTTGTTTGGAGTTTGGGGAGATGCCTTTCCCCCCCGCCCGCCTGTCCCTCTCTCTTTGTAACTGAGTATTGGTGTGGTGAGCGGAAATAGTGGTATGGTGATGTATGTGGCCTCTCGAGTCTGGGGGCCCTGGGCCTGGGGCCTGGCTCCACTCCTCATCATCTGCTAGCCCCCACCCACCCCTGGAGCATGGCTAGGATCAGCCAGGTGATCTGCACAGACGAAGCAGTGGGCTCAGCCTTAGCTGATCACGAGAGTCACACTGGGAGCTTTGCAAAAGTCAGGAAGCGCAAAGCCCTACCCGGACCATTAAGTCAGAATCTCTGGGGGTGGGACCCTAGAGGGCATCGATATTTTAGAGCCTCCGCAGTCCCAGTGGGCGGCCGATCTGGAAGACAGCAGTGCAGAACTGTAGCCAGGTGTTTGGCGCGTGGCGGCACCCTTCCAGCTCAGCCCTTTCCCAGGGGCCTGGCTGGAAGTAGCTCCTGCTTGGCAGCCACCCCAGACAGAGGGTGAGGCTGGGGCCCAGGCACTCACCTGCCCCTTCCTTTTGCTCCTTCTTCCAGGGCACCCAGCGACAGGTGCTAAGGCACACCCTGAGGATGTGGCGCTTGAGGGTGTGGGATTCGGGCAACCCATCAGGCAGTGCCAGGACCACCTCGGCCCCAGAACCGCTAGGCAGCGTCCCTGGAGGGGAGGCCTCGCTGGGCTGCAGCTCACTGGGGAAGGTGAGGGGCAGGGGCTTGGATGGGCCAGGGTGGGTAGGGGCCAAGTGGGAGGAAAGGGTGGGGATGGGGCAGGGGCCGGGCCACCCAGGACTCCACACCTCTTTTCCAGGCTTCCAGAGTTCCTGTCCTCCTGGAGACCCTCAGGCTGAGCTTTCTGTGGGCAGCTGGGCAGAGGCAGCAGGGGCGGTGCCTTCTGCTCTGGCGGGGGAGGGCCCAGCGATCCCGGCTTGCAGCAAAGTGGCACCAGCACGCTCTTCAGAGGCGGTAGGGACCTGTCCCCGAGATGGGTGAGCCATGCTACCCGCTACTCTGTGGATTTACTGTTTCATGAAGGCCCCTTTCCCATCATCCTTGACCTTCACAGCAGCTTCCTCTTGGGGTCTGTATCCCAGAGGGCTCCCCTCACGCCCCAGTTGGCCCCCAGACTCAGACCCTCCCAACATCTCCTGCCCTCCGACCTTGCCTTGGTGAGAGGTTTGGGGTGGGGCGTGAGGCTCTCAGCAGAGTGATCGTTTCTCCCAGGGATTTCACAGCTGTGGTTCGTTCATTTATTCATTCACAGCACGATGCTTAAGAGTCAGTCTGCCTGGGTTCTAATCCCAGCTTTGTCCCTCACTGGTCGCGCGGTTTGGGCAAGTTGCTTCATCTCTCTGTGCCTCTGTCTCTCCATTTGTGCAGCAGTAAATAATAGCACTTACTCCAATGGGGACCAATGAGATAGGGGCACATGCGCCCCTTGGCACAGTGCCTGGCACACGCAGCAAAAGCACTCAGTTCACAGCGATGTTTATCACTAGAGGCTGACTACGGGCCCTGGCATTGGAGAGCTGGGGTCCCATCTTACCCCCACCATCTGTCATCGTGACCCCTGGAGTAGCCTCCAGCAACCCCCATGATGGAAACAGGGAGAAGAGTCCCCCCAAGCTCCTCCCCGCTGGCGAGAGAGGGGAGAGCTGGTCTGGCCCCTGGTGGCAGTGACCATCCTCAGGGTAGACGCTCTGTTTCCCAGCACCCTCCTTGGCTGGAGCCACTGGGCAACAGCCCACAGGGCCCGGAGAGAGCTGGCTGCCCGCTGGGCCTGGGATCGGAGCTGCAGGGCCACGCTGGGGATCTGGCGGCAGCGGCTGGAGCAGTGGCAGGAGGCAGAGCAGCGGGCCGGGGAGCGAGGCCAGAGACTGGTGCGTGACGCCCTGTGCCGCTGGCGTGCTTGTTGGCACAGTGAGTCGGGGACCGGAGTGGGGCACCAGGGCAAGGGAGGGCCAGGGTCTGTCAGGGGGACCCAGGATTCCGTCTCCTCTAGCACAGAGTCCAACGATGGGACCTCCCACAGGGCATGCGCAGCACTGGGGTGGCAGAGCAGGACCTGGGGCGTGGACACTGGCCCCAGCTTCAC